TTGTTTGGCATAATCTACAGCAGCATGTGGATTCCTGTGTATATATAATATTATATTAATTATTACTATATACTTATCTATAATATAAATACTTAGATAAAGCGTGAAGAAAAAAATAACGTACCTTTCGATAAGCAATATTTGCAAACAAGTATTCATCATATTCGCTACCAATGGACAATTATCTCGGCGCACCGTTTCGAGACCTTTACAATCCATTTTGTCATATTTATCGGGTTTCGTAAAATACAGACCAGCATAACGTTTCTTGTTGATCAAGAGATACGGAAAATACACTTTCTCAAACTCCAGCTTTATAGGCTTAATGAATTTAGATGTCACGTAATCGGCCGCTTCTTTACCGAGTTTCATTGTATCTTCTATATTTTTTACGCCAAACTTAACCATTACGGAATCAGTGTCACCATATATGACTATCGCATCGTTTTTGTATCCATTTTCTATTCGAAAGTGATCCTCCACTTCTTTCTTTGTTTGCTCTATCATAGTACGTCCATAAGCTGTAACGCTCTGCAATTTATTAGATTACATTTATTATGAATATTTTGTATTTTTTATGATATATTTTACAATGTTCTTTTCATTTAATATATTTTGAGAATATCGAGAACTTACAGCAGATATTTCCAAGCATGGTAATTTTCCCATCTGCGCACCTGTGAAGCCATATACGGAATTTGCCGACACTTTCAAGGCGTATTGCCTGCCATCGAGTACTTTTTGCTTCAAAGGATCCGTTTCTTGTTTTAACTCTGCTTTTGCTTTTTTTCTAGCCGCTAATAGATTCTCCAAAATCTCCGGAAGGATTCCTTTCCTTATACTATCCTTGATGAATAACGATCTACTAGGAGTTGTGGTAATCTGGTCCTCCTGAATATTGAGCTCCTTCTTTTTAGCAATGGTTAATAATGTCGTGTAACATAAGTTGTGTGCCATAATAATGCTAGGATATAAGGAATTGAAATCTAAGGTAGCTATCGGATCATTGTAGTAGCCACGCTTAGGTTCAATAACAGTCGCTCCTTCAAATTGTTCGTCGGTACCATGGCCTTGATGTACTGGCATCAAATAATCTTTTTCCCTAGTCTGATATTAATAGATATACTTAATTGCTAATATCAAATAGTTATTTCTTTCTGTAATTATGAAAATTTATTACCTTACGTAAAAGTTGAGAAACAACTTTGATTTGTTGCCCGCGAGTCAATAAGCTAGAAATGGACACTCCTGTTACTCTTGCCATTTCCATGTAGATAATAATACACATTAATTTGTCTAATAATCTAAGTGGTAAGTATGCATCCTTCAAACAGTATACAGCGAGGCGCCGACGTGTCTGTGCATTTCCGTTTTGCAATCCCGTAATATCCTTATGCTGGACGTCTTCTTTTTGTTCTTGAAGAAAATGGTACGATACCGCATTTAAGGTATAAGACCTCAGTTTATAATCTCGAACCAATACCTAAAAAGTACATATTTGTATATTTTGATTAAAACTGTGATATATATATATATATATATATGTGTATATATATATATAAAGAATCGTGTTTACATTATATAAATTTTCTTACTAGCAATAAATCGAATGGAACTCTTCCTTCAAAATTAATCGATTTGTTCTCACGACGACCCAGCTGTTTACTTTGCAGTACATGATCCTTGATTACAGACTTTACATTTTTTATTCGACCGAGAAAGTTGAAGTTTTTAACATTGAGATGTTGCGCGCGATTAATTAAGTATGGAAAGTCAAAATTATTTATATTATATCCTGTAAAAATGTCAGGATCTAATTGTCGCACAAAATCAGCCCATTTCTTGCAAATAAAATAATGTCGTTAATATAGACAATTGATATCACATACTGGATATTTTTCGTATGATTTAATTAACTTACCTCTAACATTAAACTTTCTTTTTCAAAGCTCAGAACTTGGGAACCGACGATAGGCGCGCAAGTATCAAGAGTGAAAATATTTCTTAAAAATGGTTCAGACTCGCCCTGTCTTATGACCATGTTAGCAATTTGTATCACAGGATCATGTTTTGCTTCCGGGAAGATACCTGCAGAAAGAATTTATAATTAAATTCATGTATAATAAAAAGCATCAGAGTTAGAAGGAGAAAAAACAACGATAATAATTACCTTCGCGTCCAGCGCATTCAATATCAAAACTAAGAATTCTGAATGGAGCTATTTTTGACCATTCCCCTTCCGGTGCATGAGCTACAAAAGCATCCCATGCAACATCCACTTCCAATTGACATCGTGTAGTTAATTCCAACATGTGTCCATACTGACCACGTAATTTCCAGCTTCCTGGTGGTAATTCAATCCAAGAACAGCCAACTACTGACGTATCAACCATAAACCTTGCATTTAAATGATCAAATATAAAAAAATTAATGTTGTAATTTTGATAAAAATGTAACATATATAAATAATAAATAATACAAAATGTTATATGTCAACATTACCTGATATCAAAATCGATGTTACTCTCAAACGCTTTATAGTGATAATTGAATGCAGTGTACACTGTATCTTGTTCTAATAGTCTTTTACAAGGTGCTATCAATTTTGGGATTGCCACTGTAATTTTCAAAAATGGCAATTTATCATTTCCTCCATATCCATACATTGATTGTTTATGGACTAACTCGACTGCTAAGATGGCATCTTGTATGTTATCTGGATTTGATTTCATATCCTTTTTTACAGCTTGATTAAGAGCCTCCTATATTCAAGAAATTCTGGTGTTAATTACTTCTTAAATCAACACAAGTTTTTTTGTTAAAATAAACGTACTTTAAATGACCTGCAGTGATCGTTTGTAAAATTTGATGGTGCTGATGCAAACAAATATGGACAAAAACCATGGACATGACAACAGACAGAATTTCCTTGTTCCGTAACACCAAACATTCTCATTATCGGTACAGGTCCTACTTTACTACCTGGCATTCCAGGAAGAGGTTTACCTATATAC